TTTTAATATTATATCAATAAATAATTTAAAAAAATATATTAAAATACTTAATAATAAATAAATTTATTTAATTTTTCATTCTTTTCTCTTAATCTAAACAGTTTTAATTATTATTATTTTTTTTTTCAAATTTTTGCACTTCTTTGATTCAAACACACTATAGAAGATATGTGATGGAATCCAAAAGATTAATTATCAACTTGTTATTCACTTTGATTGGTTGCATGGAAAATAAACTGAATATTGAGGAATCATAGTCTTATCAAAATTTATTTTCAAAGCCATAATTAATAATTATTATTACAATTTAGAGTTATAATTTTCTTATTTTTAAATATTAATCTCATTGTATACGAAAATAATAAAGAAAAGATGTGCACGATTAAAATAATAATATTATTTTAATATAAATTTTATAAAATTATTTAAATAAGTGAAAACTATTTCTATTTTTTAATATTTTATATTTTGGTCAACTTATTTCATATATCGATTTGATAAACTAAATAAAGTAAACTAAAAGGGACCAACTAATTAAAAAGTCAACATTTAACCTGTTTTATCTTTTGTGACGATAAACAAATGAAAAAATAAATAAAAAAGTGAGGGATACAAGATAAAAAAAGAGAGAGTTGAGATAAGAAGAAGAACTCATAAAAATAATATAATATTAAAAATAAAAAAATTAGTATCAAAATATATTATAATATTATAATTTAAATTATATATAATAATAATTATTATTATTTTAATAATAATAATAATAATATTTTTAAATTATAATTAAAAGATTTAATTTAATAAAAAATATTTTATAATTTTTAAAAGAACATATTATAAAAAAATTATGATTGTAAAATGATTTTGTAGTGATATAATAAGAAAGTTAAAAAGCATTTATAATAAGAACAAAAAGTGTAAGTAGATGAGATGGTTTTACATATGATGACAACTGTACACCTACCTACCCACTTTCTTTTCCATCACACTTCAATTACCATAATAATATATATTATTATATTTATGTATTTAAAATTATAATTATATTCAAAAATTAACATGTAATTTATCTAGAAACGTGTTTTTTTAGTAATTAATTAAATAATATAATTTTAATAAATATTTAAATTATTTATCACATTTTTCACTTATTTTATTCACATGTTATCGTTTATAACTCAATTTATTCATCGATCACGGACGATAGATAGGTTATAATTTAAATAATCTTTAACCTATTTCTCATGTTTAAACAAAATTCATGGCATGTGTTTAAATCATTTAATCTATATTTCGTATGCAATTTTTATGCATAAAAAAATCATAATTAAAAAGAAAAAAATTATTAAAACTAACTAACTATATTTTTTAACAAAAATTAATCATCATTAAAACTAATAAATATTTAGTATATAATAAGATAATAAAAAGTTTAGTAAATTATATTGACATCTTCTTACCTTTTCTTAAATTTATATATATATATATATATATATATATATATATATATATATATATATATATATATATATATATATTCACAATAACAATGATATCTCTTAGTCAAATTATAAGTATAATATTTTTAAAATTTAACGAGGCATATATTAGGTAAAAAATTTAGTGAAAAACGTAATATTTTTAAAATAAAAGAAAACTTTGTGTAAATTTTTTAAAAAAATTGAGTTCTCGTAATTTGAGAAAATTTGATGATTTTACTCTAAACAATGGACTTAAAAGTTTTATGTAGACTAACAGGTCTAAGTTTTTAGATAATATATAATCTCAAAACACTAATAATGTTATCATTTAATTTTATTTATTTAAAATAATAGTTTGTTAAAATTAAAAGACAATAATAACTCAAAATTAGTCATTTTAATTATACAAACATTTTCAATAAATTCTTAATCTAACTTATTTAAGAATGAGTAAAATAAACTTAAAAAAATAAAGAAAAAGTCTCTTATATAAATATTTTTGTCTAATTTTAAGTGACTTTAAGTTTCATAATGAAACAATACTTTTATTTATAAACAATTTTTTAAACGGTTACGGGAATGGAACACTGATATATAACCACCCATTTTTTAACATACATCCAATATACAACTTAATTTAATAATAATAATAATAATAAATAAATAAATATGAGTTGTAGAATGGATATAGGTAAAATTTAGATTGTCAATAGATCAAAGTATGATTTCTCATGAAAATTTGATTAAGTTAAAATTGATTTATTAGGTATATTTTTAAAACAATAATAATATACATTAAATTTCATGTTTGATTTATATTTTAATAAATAATAATGAAAAATATTTATAAATAAAATCACGAATTAGATATACAACGTTAAATGAATACTTTAAAGCTTAAATTTGTGTTTTTCTCTCACTTATATTTATTTAATTTATTTTTAATTTCTATACACGTTCAATTTAGTCTTCAACTTCAAGCATAATTACTAACAAGTCGTGTAGAATAGTCCAAGAAGAGACTGCAAATGGGTATGCTGCTATCACAGGCCCCTACACCATTAACATTTATCACCTCTATTCGTAAGGGTCGAGTCTTATTCATAGGGTACTCTACATATGTTCACTCTTCTGCAACATTCCATATCAATGTGTCTTTGCATGTGCCCCAGACACCCCGTCTTCATTCGGTGGACTGTCATAAATAACTGACAATATAGCTTTCACAAAACGATCAAACCATCCCCCATCACCACTCCTCATGCACATGTAGAACCAACTTCCCTTTCTCATGAAATGTTCATCGTTGCATTTGAATATTTGAGGATGCATGTACTGATAAATGTGATTGGTTTATCACATTTCATGCTCAAGAAGTTTCCTCCATCAGATTTCTATATTAGGACTTAGCAATAATTCACTTCATGCATGTATGAAATCCATCTAGCTCTTAGGCTTATGCTAGCTCTAAACGAACCTTAAACTTGTAGGGTTGATTAATTAGATGTGAATAAACCTTGACAAGTTAGAGATATATGGACAGAAGAGAGAAAAGTACCAGCTAGTATGGTTTTGATTACGACAAATTGGTGGTGGGGAAAAGAATTGCTTGTTCTTTGTGCTTGTTCTATGTGTTTGTATAATTGGTGTGCTACAGCATCCACGTATACTTGCAAGTTCAAAATTTTGAGCATGTGATTCACCCTCTGGACTATGTACGCGTATTTTAATGTTTAGTCAAAATCAAGTGAAAGGAAGAAGTGCACGCCTAGTGAGGATCAATGTCTTTCTGTAAAGCTGTACACTAGGTTTTGTTTTTTATATCACTTATAGAATACAGATTTTGATGTAGCCAAATATATACATACGATGGTGTGGTTTAAGAATACATATATGCACCACTTGGCCTAGCTTAGGGTGGGACCACTCCATTACAGAATGAAAATGAGAATCATTTTTATTATTTTGGTCCTTTTAAAATTGACACTGGCTTATACATATTTTGTGATCATAATCATTCTCTGTTACTGTTGTACTTTGGTAATTGCAACAAGGATACATAATTGCACTGGCTAGTTGTGCTTTAATCTTCAGTCAACCATGCTGCTTTGCTGGGAATTCACTATTACTAATCATGACTGTTCTTAATAAAGTATATAGTGGCCAAACAACAGCGTTCATATGTACCATGATTTCCACATTTTTTTAAGAATAAAACTGTTCATTTCTACTTAACCATAAAATGTTTGTTTCTGATTGTAATCTTTGCTTTTTGGGTTAGTTACATGGTCAGTTTTCATTGACATTTCACTTTTATATTATGTATTGTGATGGAGACTATTCCCTTTAACTTTCTAAGCTTTTTCTTCTTTATAGAGAAAATTAAGGTACCATGATTTCCACATCTTAAGAATGACAATTATTCTCTCCCTTTCTATCTTTGAGCTTATCTTTCTCTGGAAAAGGAATGGCTGTAATCTTTACTTTTTTGGTTAGTAAACAGGTCAGTTTTCATTGACATCGCATTCTTTTATTAACATGGAAACTTTTTACTTTTTCAACTTCATAGAGAAAACTAAAAAACATCATAGAAAGGAAGGGTGGAAGAATAAAATATGCCATTCATCGCTTTTGATTATACAGTACCATGGTCTATCTGTTTGTCATCTGTTGAACACTGAAAGAATGATGGAACATAATCTTAAGCAGTCATTGGGAATCTATTTATCTTGGGAAAAAGGGTCAGATTCAGAACAAGAGGACTTGCTTTTTACAGTGAATCAAAACATAAAAAATGAGGTCAATTAACAGCACATAATTGGGCTTTATGAGTGAAGGTTTCTTTTTGTATGTTGAAGTACCAAGTCCACAAAATTGACCATAGCACAGACACTAAAATAGGATTATAAAAATCTACACACTTCCACCTCCATCTCATATTTATGTTATTTAATTTCTCTCTCTTCTTCTACATCTAAATCCATCTCACAATGAAGATGAGGATCAGGTAGATGATTTGTGCATTCCAAATAGGTGTTACAGGTGCGCGTATATAGGTACGTGATTCATGTAGGGACATACACTTCGAACATTATTATTACAAAACTTTTTCTTAAATAGAACCCGAAACGTGATACGGTAAGTTCTGTAAAGACCATCTATTTTCTTTGTAAAAATGAGAAGACTGTTGCAAATGCCTGTTGGAGCAATTTTGTCATGGTGAATTCTCTTGTTCGTTAGTCATAAGCATAGATCTTTTGAAAATAATAATGAAGCTGCTAAGGTGTTCAGTTCTACAACACCTGGGAAAAAGTATATACAACAAGTACAAGAATAAGAGAGAGAAGTGTAGAATCTTATTTTATTTTTTTAACAAATTAATGCTGGAAAACCCACTCTATTAATTCAAACAGTAAACTCCACCAAAATGCAACAGCATTTCAAATGAAATGCCCATTTCTTCCCTTACAAGGTTTTCTCAACACTCTCACTCTAACACTCTTGGGCTGACAAGTGTAGCTATTCTTTAACTCCCATCAAGTTCATTTTTGTAGCAAATTGAGAACAAATCCTGCTATCATCTGAACCATTCTTTGAACTACACTGCTGCTGAGACTGTCTGCAATGAGCAATGGCTCCCTCAATTGAACTTTCCAACTCATAATTTGCACTGATGCTCCTCTTAAAAAGTTGTAAATCGTAGTACCCAGCTGAGCTGAGAGAAAAAGATGAAGATGAAGAAGACGACCCGGATGAAGATGTGGACAAAGATGAAGCCTTGGCGGCACAATGCCGATGACCAACCCCAGAGAAAGACCTTCTGTGGTCACAGAAATCATCTTCAACTTCAAACATATCTCTTTTAAGGGTCTTCATCACGGCACGAGTTACCTGGTGCTGCTTGTTATCATAAACACTCTCAAATGGGTTTCTCCTTGCAACCTTCATGTACTTGTTCTGACACTCTTTGCACTTAAACGGTGTTTTCTCTGCCCCCATGTTGCTTGCAGCACTTGCACAGATTTTGTCTGAGCAACCAGATTTGTTGAACAAAGTTTTCAGATAAGCTCTTGATGCCTTGAGTCTCTGACCAAGCAAGAACTGCTTCATCTGTTTCAGTTTCTTGGGCCAAGACTTCTTGGGAAGATCACCAATGAGATTGTTCATGTCAGAAAACCACCCAAGTGGATATTCATTTGGGATCACATCACTGCTAACTCGGCGTGATTCTGAAGGTGAGATGTTGGATTCAGTGGTGAAGGGAAAGTTTCTGTGTTCCAAACCTGAGTCTGTTTTCACATACTCAAAGTTCCCATTGGAGTTTTCTATGAGCTTTTGAACCATTTGCAAACGAGGGGGAAGGTGAAGAGGAAGGAGTTTTCCCTTGTAGAAGAGGTCATCTGCTGGAGAAGTTGATGACTCTTTCTCACTCATTTGGAATTCAAATTCTCTATTGGATGGTGGAGAACTAAGGGAGTATGAGAAGAACTTTGGGGAGGAACATAGCTCCATATCAATGTAGTCATCATCTACATGAACCAAAGTAGCTTGTTTTGTGGCCATTTCATGTGACTCTCTTGTGATGATGGTTTTCTCTATTGGTGTCTGTCAGGGTATGGAGATAGATGCCTATGGGAAATTGAGCTTCCGCAAGGAAAGAGGGCAGGGTATTCTTTTAAAAGTGGTGATGTTGCCAAAATAAAATAGATTTTTTATTCATTTGTTTATTGTATTTATAATATATTAATCTTATCACCTTTGTCTTCACTTTACCCTTCTACCGTTTGAAATAAATACATTTACGTTAATACAAAAACCCTTTTGTGTTTTAAATTATGTATGCATGCTGCTTTTCAAGCATGAAATAAAGGTATTATTTTATCTTTAAATTTCCCCCCAGCAAGCAGTCATTGCCTCAGTTTTTGTGTATCCAAGTGTATAAAAAAATATTGGCTCCCAGAACATGCATAACTGTGAATGATCCGGAATATTCGAAAATGTTTAAAGGGAATTCAAAATCTGTGGCCCTGTGTTATGCAGAGATATTGTTAGTCAGTGAGTGTGTGTAGTCATGGGTGAAGGGTTTCATTTTTATTTTGTTTTCAAGTTTAATTTTTATGTATTCACAATATATATATTTTTTATTTTACATAATCATCCCACAATACATTATTAATAAATTTAGCTTTTAAGTAATTTGCATAAAAACCAGTTAATTTTCTATGCATAAGCATTTCTTTTAGATGTCATTGATCAAACTATATCCTCATTATTTTTTTATCTCTTTTTTCCCATTATGTATATACCCCAGGCACTACAAATGCACTGTAGAAAGAGATACAGCTATCTGCACCAGTATCTGTCAAAGTAGTAATAAAAGAGAGCAATGATGATACTTGAAAAGTACCTTGGTTGCTTTCATTATTCTTTTTCTTTTCCTTTTTCTGCCATTTCTCCTTTGTTCACAACTTCAAACCATGATCTAATTCTTACCCTTCCCATGAAAGATTTGGTTTATTGAGTACTAACAATTACTTTTAGATTATAAACATCTAAGGCAAGTTCCACTTAAGCTGCACATGAGCATTCAAATTCAGTCCCCCTAATGAATCGTCCGTAATTAGTGGTTAACATAATTGGTCCATGCCATGTGTTAGATGAACACTTTCATTCTTTTGTTGTCCTGTTCCATTTGAGTTTGATACGTCAAAGTACAAGACGAGAATCTGTAACTCGAAGGAAGATGTTGACACTGACCTTGTTTTTATTGAAAGCTTCAATGTAACACTAAACATTCCAATTCGTCTCATGACAAAGGAAGAATGAATGGGATGATTTATACACTAGATTGAATCTAGTGAGGAAGCAGGTACATGATGCATGTGCAAGGGAGGTCTCAATGAAATGAATCTAGTATCTGCATCCCTTTCTAGCCTAATCTAGTATCTACATATCCTTATCTTCTTATACATGATTAAGGGTGTATGAGAGGCCCTATGCATATTTGTTAAGTAAGACACTATAGTGTGCTACTGGTAAAAAATGATTGAAATCTGAAATGAGTAAGTTAAAAATATTGACTTGAAAGATAAATGAAACAAGGTTTGTCAATTTCTTTGTTCATTATCCAATGGACTCCCCTAGGCTTCATTTTTTTCTAGAAACAAGTGTTCTGCAATTTGCACATTCGATAAGGATCAAAAAAATTGTGAAGGGAATTTTGTTTTTCTCGTTTATCTTTTTATGCCTAATCTATAACTGAGCAGTTCTACATTATTCATTCTTTTGGAAGGCCCCATCCATATTTCTCAAACGGCTTATGGGCAATAATTCACCTTCATGGTAAATGATGTGCTCATTTGACCAGGTCAAAATGTAAGATATTTTTAATCTTTCACCTTTGGCTCTTGCCTGTGGTATATTAATGATCTGGGGATTCAAACTTTGAGGTTTGACCTCAAACAAATACAAAAATTGAATACATTGGGAAGTTGCAAGTAGGATCCTATAGCCTATAGCATAGGACTAATGAAATGGTGAACCATAAGTTCATAATCATAACCCACCCTCCAAAGCCAAAAGGGCTAGGCGTTGGTTTCGAGATTGAGAGGGGAAAAAGCCACTAACAATGCTCTAGGGCAGTTGTTTATGTCTCCCTTTGTCGAGTTCTCAGTCTCAAGCAGATTCCCAAACCCAAGTTGAGTTCAAGTAAAACTATCAAAGGAAAGAATGATGCTTTCATTCTGTTTTCAAGACCTAACGTTTTACTCGTCTGATATGATTATTTGTTCTACAAACAAGATCCACAAAAACAACAGAAAGGTAAAAACTAATGACATCATATGATTGTTAGGTTGTTAGTGATGTGGTAATGGAAAGTTTCTTCCGTCCCATCTAAGAATTTCTCAAGTAATAAAGAAAGTTAAGGCATTTATAAAAGCAAAACACAATTTATACTATGAAGGTAAATACCAAGTGCAATTTATAGCAAGTTTAAGGGAAGGGAAAAGAAAAGCCTGCTGGTTTCAGACTCTTTTCTTTAGTCATCACTAAAGGACTAGAAAAATGTCAGTGCCACATCACGTGCTTCTAATGAAACTACGTTCACATGATCACTTTTCCAGAACGACCCTTTTATTTTAAAGCTCATTGGCTAATTGTGAGAGAAATAATGGGCCACATAACAAGAATGGCAGTAGCCGGATTGAGTGGAGAGTGTCATTGCAGAGATAAAGGCTCCTTCCTCCTATCTTCCACCCTTCCAGGTGAGCCCAAATGGTATCAACCTTATCTTTTTCCTTTTACCTTTATCCTTCAAAAGGTTATTTTACTTTTCATAATTGGCTTTCATGATGACCAGAATTGCATGGAAGTTATTCGTTTGAAGGGTAAGTAAACAATAGTACTACTACCACTGATGTCTGCTGGAAGAAAGAAAGGAAAGAAATTTTAGTACCATTCTACTTCAACAAATGTCCCCTACACTTTAAATCAAACAATCATTGAAGTGGAAACCGAATCATAGCAGTAAAAGAAAAAGGGTCATGGAAGCCAGTCAAATCCATGTAAACCCCATGAAAATCAATACAAATATGATGTCTATTGTTGAGCTTAATATGTGGTCGCTTTATCTAATTATGAAGGCATATAACTTTACTACTACGTTATACATTTTATTCTAGCTGGTTTTGTCACCAAACAAGTAAATTAACTCACTGAGTGGATTAACTGAGGTGAGATTATTCCAGCTTACCAGTGGTTTTGAACTTGAATCCTATTCAACGAGTTATCTCTACCAAAAAAATTTCTCTCAGGTTTTATCACAATTAGAAATTTCACATGAATGGACTAGTGGACCGAGTAAATGAAGGTAATTGGAGCCGTATATTGTACTGCACTTAACCCAAACTAGTTACAAAACAGCTTTTTACTCAAGCCAATCATGTTATAAAAACGAATTTTCTCACTGACAAAAATGTTACACAAACAAAGCTTATCTAGGAAAGTTACATGGTTGAATATATCTATCTACATTTTATCAACGATGAATATGATACAAATACTACTATGGGTGTACCAAAGCTGTTTCATGTACATCAGTTGAGTGAACTACTTAGTTATCTGAGTAATGGAATAAGCCAAAATCACAGCCTTCCCAAGACACAGCAAACAGTGTTGCCTTTTAATTTCCTTCTTTTTACAACATCAGTGGTTAATATTCTTTTCATTCAACTCCTGGTGAGACGATCTCTGTCAAGAGCATCAAACTCCCATTCACTTATCTCTTCTGCTGAGTCATCTTCACTTAATTTATCAAGTTCTATTTCTATTTGTGATCTGCCACGCAAAGATTTTGTCAGTCGATCTTGCTTGTATTTTTTAGCCGATGGAGGTGAAGGAGTTCTGGAGATTACTGGACTTGATGGTGTTTCTGACCATTGAGTTGGACTCTCAAGTTCCAGTTTTGGCCTCTCAATAGATTCAAATTCGTCTTTTATTTTCTCAATCGCATCAAATAGTTGTGTCACCTTGTCACTATCTTTTCTGTATCAAAATTGTAAATGTAAAGGGAAACAACACTTTTATATGTATGTTAATATGGAAAAAGAAGTAAAAAAAGAAGAAGACAAGAGGCCATTGAAGAAAGAGAGAAAGAAACAACAAACCTGAAAATGCCTTCCTTTTGAATGTGAAACTGCTTGTTCATGGTGTCCACTATATTCAGAGTGGCTAAAAACTAAAATGTAGAATAAGAAATGATGAGCATTTGTTAAGACCACAAAATGTGACTGATTTTCATGTCATCTCACACATAAAATTATCTTACTTCTAAGAGAGACCTGCCGGATTTTCACTTCACATAATGATATAAAATCAACATTCAAAAGAAAAATACCTTGGACTCGATATCCAAGTATTCTTCTTCAAGCTTTTTCCTTGGATTTGCTAATTTCAAACCTTCACTGTCTACTGCTGATGATATTGCTAACCTGATATAGATCAACAGTTGGAAGCATGGATTTTACACAATAGACAATTCAGAGAGGCAGGACACCATACCCTTGTCTGAATCTTAAATTCTCCACAAGTATTCTTATTTGCTTAACAGACGAACCCAATTTTTCCTGACATAAGTAAGCCGGTGATCAGAAGATTAGGAAAATGTAGGATGATAAAGATATTGAACAATATAGGATGATTTATTACCTTGTAAGAATGCAGAAGATCAACCACCAAATTCACAAAATGATAGCCATATTTCTCCAGTTCAGCACTTTCATGTGCAATAAAAAAATAGGTAATATGAATATTAATAAAAGAAAACAATGAAAACATGCACTTTAAGACACATAAGAGGAGGAGCTACCATGCTCCAATTCGATTTGCATAATAAATTTGAAGTTGTAATATGTCAATATTTATTTGATAATATTTGTATGCCAATGGTATTAAACTACAAGACATACTTGACCTGCTCCTTCTTTCTCTTTGTATATGAAGTTTGGAAGACCCATGTGCTCTCTAGAAACTTAATCCATGTATCAACAACATTGGCTTCCACGGTATAAGAAGTAATGGATCGCACCATCTCATCTTCCTGATATCAGAAAACTTCATGACAATAAGACAAATAACAAAATGGTTCACATCATATTATTAATTTTAGGCTAAATTTTACTTTAGTCTTTCATCTTTTTTTATTTTTTTTATATTAAATTTGATCCCTTGTATCTTTTAAAATTTTAGTTTTGATAAGTTAAAAATGATTTAAAATAGACTCATAAGAATAATGACAGTCTCATCCAATGAATTGAAGGAAACTCACGACAAGACAAAGTACTCCTTCAATCAGTTTATAATTAGAAGTGTCAATAATATTAAGAGATTACCGGTCAAAATCCATCACAAAACTTTCTAGTGTTGCATTTCCCCATGATACTAAATCATTGTCTTCATCCATCACAATAATATTAAGAGATTACCGGTCAAAATCCATCACAATAATATTAAGAGATTACCGGTCAATAATATTAACCACTACTACATGATACCAAATCATTGTCTTCATCTGGAATGACCTTTCTCCTTTCTAACCACCTGATACTTTCTAGTGTTGCATTTGCCCATCCTCAACCTCAATATTGTCAGATTCCTCCCATTCACCATTGATCTCGTAAGACCTCTTTGCTGCTCAACAGGAATTGTAGGGTCAAACTGATAAAAGAAAAGCTAGAAGGAAAAAAGAGAAGATGAAAGAATAGAAGGAACCCAACAGTGGGTTCTCATAATAGCATGGAGAAAGATAAGACTATTGAATAACAATTACAATTTTTTTACAAAAGCTAAAACCCAATTATATACTATGGTAAAACTCTTTCCAACACACCGCTTAAACCGCACCGTTTCTAGAAGCGGTTACTTTCTTTATATCAATACCCTGCCCTAGAAAGAATCCTTGTCCTAAATCATAAAAAAATTTCCATGTCGCGTCTTCTGGCAGCTGGTGTTTCCATTTTACAAGAACTTTGGTGACTGTCATCCCTCTTCACTATCATTCTGTCTAAAATAGCTTTTGGTTCCTTCTGTTGCAGCCTTCCTTGATAAGGCAATTCCGTAGAAATTATTGCCTCCCCCACATGCTTCTTCAATTGTGATATATGAAATACATTGTGGATCTTTGAATTCACAGCAAGTTCTAGCTTATAAGCTATCTCTCCTATCCTGTCCAAAATCTTGTAGGGTCGATAGTATTTGGGACTTAATTTGGCATTAGGTCTGGATATTATTGAAATTTGTCTATTGACATGTAGCTTCACGTAAACCAGGTCCCCAATTTCATTTGCTCTCTTTAAATGAAATTTAATTACCTTCAGCATCTTTTTTCTTTTAGTGAGACTTTTGTCCGCCAATTCTACACTAGATTCTCCAAGTAGATAGGGTAGGTGAATAGGAGGAACTTGACCGTAAACAATTTCATAAGGTGTAGCCTTAATAGCCGTGTGTAATGTTGTGTTATACCACCATTCCGCTAAGGAAAGCCACTTCACCCATTTGTGGGGTGAATCATTACTCATACATCTCAGGTAGGTTTCCAAATACCTATTTACAACCTCCGTTTGCCTGTCTGTTTGAGGGTGATAACTTGTGGACAGCTGGACTTGCACCCCATGTACTGCCATAAATTCCTGCCAAAATTGGCTAACAAAGACTGAATCCCTGTCATTAGTTATAGTTTCAAGAAATTCATGTAAGTTGAACACATGTAAGTTGAAAGTTAGGGCCATAAAATGAGCTACTTTACTAAGCCTATCCACCACTACCATAATCACATGTTTGCCTTCTGAATTCGGTAGTCCTTCAATGAAGTCCATGGTGATATACTGCCAAATAGTTTGGGGAATGGGCAGAGGTTGTAGTAGCCCAGGACTAGCAACAATGCTATACTTATTCTGCTGACAAATAAAACAACTTTGGATGAAATGCTTAATATCACTATTTAATCCCTTCCAATAAACCACTGGCTTTACCCTTTTCAGAGTAGCATTAATTCTTGAATGACCCCCTTCAGTCGATTAATGTAGCCACTGTAAAACTTTTTTTCTTAACATCATATTGTTTCCCACAACCAATTTACCCTTCCTCTGCAGCTTATTGTTTCTCCATGTATAATGTTTGTGTGAATTAGTATTTCCATGTAGCTCTTTTATCACCTTCTACAAATTTATGTTTGTAAGCCATGATCGTTATATTTGATTCATCAACTCAGATTGTAATTGAAGTGTAATAATTCCCTTGCATTCAACTATTTCCATTCTTGAGAGAACATCAGCTACTACATTGTCCACTTCTTTCTTGTATTCTATAGAGAAATCAAATTCCATCAATTTCACCAACCATTTCTACTCAAAATTTGTAGTCCACCGTTGGTCTAGAATATATTTTAAGCTATAATGATCTGTTTTGATTATAAAATGCCTATTCAGTAAATAGTGCCGTCACTTTTGTACTGCAAAAACTACTCCTAACAATTTCTTTTCATATGTTGAATAGGCCTGCTGTTGTTAATTAAAAGTTCGGCTAATATAGGCAATAAGATGATTGTCCTACATTAAAACCACCCTTGAAGTATCCACTTCAACCAAGAACACCTTTGAGAAATCAGGCAGTGCAAAAATTGGTGTGCTGCTCATCGACTTTTTTAGTGCTTCAAAGGTTTCTTTGGCTTTGTCTATCCAAATAAATTTGTCTTTTTTCAACATCTTTGTCAAGGATTTAGCTATTATCCCATAACACGAACAAATCTTTTGTAATAACCTGTTAGGCCCAAAAACCCTCGCAAATGTTTAAGAGTTTGTGATAAAGGTCATTCCACCATTGCTGCCACCTTAGCCGGGTCTGTAGACACTCATTCTTTATTAATAATATGGCCCAAATACTCCACTTGTTGCACCCAAAATATCATTTAGTTCTTTTAGCAAATAGAGTGTTTAATCTGAGAGTTAACAACACCTCCTTAAAATGTTGTAAATGGTCTGTCAAATTCCTGCTATATATCAATATGTCATCAAAAAATACCAATAAAAACTTCCTCAAAAACTTGTGAAAAATAGTGTTCATTAAGCCCTGAAATGTAGACGGCGCATTAGTGAGACCAAAAGGCATCATCAAATATTCATAGTGCCCCGCATGGGTTCAAAAAGCTATTTTCCACTCATCATTCAGGTTCATCCTAACTTGATTATACCCCGCACGCAGGTCAACCTTTGAAAAAATAGTAGATCTTGCCAATTCAACCAACAAATTGTCTACTAAAGGAGTGAGATATTTATTTTTTACCGTTCCTTTATTCAATTCTCGATAGTCCACACAGTCTCCATGACCCATCCTTCTTCCCTACAAGAACGACTGGACTGGCATAAGGGTTGCAGCTGTCCCGAATAATACCATATTACAAGTATTCTTATATGAGTTTATCAATAATATCCTTCTTATTCTTAGCATACCTATAAGGTCTTTTGTTAACCAGATTAACTCCTTGCATGAGAGGAATACTATGATATGTCTTGGTCTAAAGGGTGGCAACTATTGTGGTTCTCGAAATACATCCGCAAATTCTTGCAACAAATTTTCAACTCCCACCGAAAAAGTTACCTGATTCGTATGTGTAGTCAATGAACACAATAAATCGTCCTTGGAAGCACCAAGATGCATCATAGACAAATGCACCCCTTCTGCAAAACCCTTGCACAACTGCTGTTTGGTTGCAATTTTAACCTTAGTATTAATGAATCCTATTAGCATCTGTCGTCTTCCATACACTTGAAACTCCATTGTGAGTTTGTCAAAGTTCCACAAAATATCACCCAATTTAATGAGTCATTCAATTCCCAGCACCAGATCACAACATCCCAGAGATAGAAATCTTGATTTTGTTGCCATCTGCTACAACCACATTAAAGGGATTAATATTTTTTACTGCACACCATATTTTGCTGCTACTTGAGTGTCCAGAAAATTGTGAGTGTTGTCAGTGTCGATCAAAATGTGTAAGGGTTTCTTTTGGTAGTAACCCGTAATCCTCATAGTTCTAAATCTTGCTACTCCTGTCAACGCATTGATTGAAATTTGTAGTTCTTGAGCAAGTAATTGAGTTCTCCATCATCCGTAGACACCTCACTAGTATCCACCTCATCCTTCGCCTCTATTACATGAATTTGTAATTTCTTGTGGGCCAAACCATGTTTTGGGAATAAGGCTCATCACAAAAATAACATAGCTTAGCTTTTCGAGATTGCAGTAGACATTGTCGCCGTGACTCTTATAGGTGATGGCACAGGACCCAAAACTCCCCTTTGAAACCTTGCAGAAGCGTTTTGAATTAGTCGATTCATATATTCGTGCCAATGTAAAGGGACGTTGTACAGATCTAGGTTGGAACATCCTTACCATCATTTGGATTTCTTTCTTTAGTCCACCCAAAAAACAACTTGGTACATATTCCTCCGATTGATTCAATCTGGTAATAATTGAATCAAATTCTTCATGATAGTCATCCACCGATTTCTTTTGCCGTAAACGCATCAACTCTACCATAGGATCGTCACACACATCGCCAAACCGATCACATAAGCGTTTCTTGAATTCAGTCCAAGAAAATGTAAAAGAATCCAAACAAGATTTTGCCAAAGCAGTATGCCACTGCAATACTTTGCCTTCCAAATGTACAATTGCTAACTTCATCTTGAAATCTTCTAGGGTATTATCAATGAGAAAGTAATTTTCACACTGATGTATACATTGATTCACGTTTTCGTCGTTGAATCTGGGAAAATCAATACGTGTCATCCATGTCTTTTATTGGCTGAATCGAACGGGTAGCGTCTACCATGTGAGTTTCCCAGGAAGGACCGACTGATACCAACTGATAAAAGAAAAGCGAGAAGGAAGAAAAAGACGACGAAAGAATAGAAGGAATAGAAGGAACCTAACAGTAGGTTATCAAAATAGCATTGAGAGAGATAAGACTATTAAATCACAATTACAATTTTTTTACAAAATCCAAAACCCAATTATATACTATGGTAAAACCTCTTTCCTACGTACCACTTAAACCGCACCATTTCTAGAAACGATTACTTTATTTATATCACAAACAAAGTTATGAAGATGGTTATAAAGAGAAGATGGACCAAACGGGAATTGTTAATACTACTTGTACCTCAAGACCATGTTTGTGAACAATTATTTTCTTCTATTTTTAAACATTAATTAGTTGTTTTCTTTCAGTGTTTTGTTTCAAAGCCTTCCTTCTTTTGGAGCTTAGACTGTGTTCACAATGGTGTTAAAATAAAAAATAAAAGATCATTGAAGGAGTTTAATTTGGGTAATCCTATAATGACTTGATAGTGGGTGACACAATAGAGCCAACAAACCTCACTAGAATACACTCTGATACCATATTAGAAAGTGAATCTTGACTTAACTCAACTCTACTAAACCGACTTAGAAGCTAAGTTTTGCACTCCACTCATATTTGATTATATCTCTAGTAAATATGATATCATTTATAATACAAAAAAAAAATTATAAATTGTGTACTATTGTAAAAGCATGCAAGGACCATTTTTGTATTTGTTAGGGAAGTTATGTGATGAAAAAGGATGCAG